CTTTATTGGCATATAGTTGTTCGTAGCAGTCTCTTTTGAACCTTTGTTTTTCTGTGGTGTCAGCTGTAACTTCTCAAGTAAAATCTCAAGATTTAACTACTGTTCTGACTTTTAACACATTAGATTATTTTCACCTCTTCTGGATTTTTAGGGCTATATAAATGGACTTACACCTTATGTACTCATTTGTATCTGGTTTCTGTCACTCAGTATTATGTTGTCCAGGTTTTTAGTTGTTTTCATGTGTATGAGGACAAATTTAGTATATATTTTTCCACGTTGATTGGAGGCAAAAAACCTCTTAATGAACTCTTAATAATTTAAAGTTGACCTTGGATTTTTTTCTTAAGATAGAAAGTTTGGTCTTTTATTTCTTGCTTTTCTTTGCACTTCTGGTGTAAATTCATATTTTCATGTATTTGTTTTTAATACATCACAAATTTGTTAGCTGCTGTTTAGTTTAGGATGTTTGCAACTAGGATCAATCATCAAAGGCTGATCTACTATAAATTACCTTCTTGAGCTGATTATCTTCATAAAGTGACATGGACATTTTTCCTTCTAGAACAGCTTACGTAAAAGAGCAGTTACTTGTTCTTTGAAGGCTAGAAAAAGACCTGTGAAGCCATCTCGATGTGATGTGTCCCTTTTGAATTCTTTCCTACATTTTATTTTGTTAGTGCCATGAGTTGCTTCCTGCTATTTAGACTCAAATAGTGTGTTACTGAGTTTTCACTTTTGTTTTTAAATGGCTCTTCTGTCTCTTCTGTCAGGCATCACGTGTGCCTATTTTTATGCCTCCCCTCTCTTTAGCTGGGCTAGAAAATCAAATGTTGGAACCTAATCACTTTTAAAATAAGTTAAAATGAAGGTATTTTATTAATACTTTTTTACATTTATTTGGCCCACCAGACCAAAATATTACTTCATTTAGATTTTTCATTGAACGTGTGGTGTGATTTTTTTAGGTTTCTGGAAGAGTGAACTCCTGATCAGTAAGCATGACCTTGCTGGCAGTGCTTTAAGACATAAGAGACAAAAGCTTCAAGACATGTGACTAAACTGTTTCATATCAGCAGCAGTCTAGTATCAGTGTTGTCTTCACAGAGTGTCAGAAAGGTAATGTGTGATTATACTGCCAAGTGTTTTCCTGTTATGACTCAGTTCTCTGGTCTCTGATAATGATGCCTAGTTTCCTAAAAAGGCAACCTTCTTAAGTGACCATGCTGTCATCTTCAAAGAAAAGTGGAGTGTAATAATCACCAGCTGCTTTAAGCTACTGTCATCCATCAGTTAGACTGGTTATAATTTACCTGGAGTAATACGTAACACTTCCTATGACCAGCATTTCCCCCAGGATCACAGTCATGGGTGGAGTGTTCAGTTAAGCAAAAGCAAAGTTACCTACTACATTCACTGACATTTGGAGATTATTTAACACTGCTTGGTTTTGAATTTAGTTCTCAGTATTTTAAACAGGATGTGTTGGGCAATGTGTAGGAAGCTCAATTTTCTTTGTGCTGTACTTTTTTTTTTCATATGAAATCATAAGAGGTTTTACAAATGTATTTCATTTACTGTGTCTTGAAATTTGTCTTATACAACTTTATTTAAAGAATAATTTCATCAGACAAACCTGAATTCTAGAGTTCTGTCATTTTTGTGAAACCATTTCTCAGAACTTTATTGGTAATAACAGGAATTAAAGAATCAGAGGGAGTCTTTAAAAATCGACAGTGGTGGCAGTTACAGTGGGGGAAAAGAAGAACATTTTGGCATTTTTTCTGGGTAAACTACAAGAAATGGACATCCAGCAAACATGTGAGTGCCTGGGCTGGGCACACAGCTGAACAAAGACAGGGTTCCTTCCTGAGTGAGGTCAAGTTCTGGGTTTTAGGGAGTGTCCTTCGAGTGTTGGATACAGCTTAGTAACCAGTAAGTGGAGGTGAGCTCAAGGTCCTGGGGGATCTCAAGTGAAGCCATCATGGCTGGGACAGTGTTCAGCTGGGCTGAGAGGTCTTCAGCGAAGTGGGCAGGACGTTCAGGCAGAGGCCACAGCCATAGCGTCATGGTGGTGGGTGCAAAATCTTGACAGAAGTGGCACAAGGCGTTGGACGTGATTAGGACAGGAGTTTTCTCCATTTAAGCATTTTGTGGTTTTTGGCTGAGTCACGAAAAAAATCCCTTAGGACAAGAACACTTCAAGAAGAACAGATGTGAGGTGTCAGATTTAGAATCCTTTTTATTATCTCAATCTAGAAACATCACTAAAGAGCTACAATTAGATACTCAGTTGTTTAATCTGTATAATATTTAGAAATTAGAGAGAAAAGCTGCAAATAGATTGAGAGCAGTTCTTTAAAAAAGATGCTCCAAATTTATGCTCTGTTCTTGAAGACTGCTGAAACATTCAGATTTTTAAAATGAATGGTTCCCACATTTCTCACCATCAGCGCCTTCTGCCCTTACCTTCCACCCTCAGGATGTAATAAACGATTTTATCTGGTAACAACATTTTCCTGTTCTTTGTCATGGGTAAGAGCTTTTGATCAGCATGACTAGACTTTCAATACTGAGTTGAGTGGAGACAGAAAAAGAAATTCTGGATCTAGAGTATGTGACTTCGTCATAGGTGTATTCCTAATAGGATTCGTTTAGACTTTATGAAATATTGGTAACAGCTCCTGCCTCACTTCTTGGGGTTTTAAAGAACTCAGTTTTGGAACTACTCTGTCAGTCTTTCAGCTCATGTAAAGTGACACATTTCAAGTGTGTTCATAGGTAGTAAGTGGTTCAAGGATAAAGGACTGGATTGCGTTAAACCTAGATTTACTTCCAGGACCTGCAACCTATTATTGCCTCACTTGATCCATCTCTAGTTTCTATTTTTGTACTTGGAAGTTCTGGGAAGAAAGGTGCTATGAATGAAAAATACAGCCAACGTAAGTTGAAAATATAAAATATGAAAAACGTGGCATTTAAAAAGTAACATATATAAACTATTCTAATCAGAAGTAGTATTGCCTGAATGTTTGCAAAAGAAAAACATACAAAGGGATGTGAACCTGGTTTGGTTGCTGTCCCATTTATTGAATACCTCAAAAAGCTGAGTGAAAATTATCTTGGAAAACATTAAGGCCCTGTTTTGTGAATGCCGCGGGTCTGAGCTGCTCCAATTCAGCCTGTACCACCAATCCAGACAGGAGTCAGCGTTGCCACCTGAGGCCTAAGGACAGCCCAGTGAACCTTCTTTCCCTGCCGGCCAATTTCTGCTGACTGGTGTGTCTATTCTACTTCGTTCAGGAAAGCCATGCACCGGTTTCTGCTGTTACTCGCTTGATTTTTCTTAAATGTAACTGCTGTTCTCTGATGAAAGGTTCAGATTCCTCGGGAAAAAAAATAAATAGCTGTAAATATCTTATTAAGCACGTGTATGTAATTCTCTGGAACTTCTGGCCAAAAGGCCAGCTCTTCTCCGTGGGAAAGGGCCCCGCTCAAGGCGAAGTCCCCCGGACCAGAACTTCCCGCTGACCCGCTCATGGGCGAGGGCTTCGACCTGTGCGCCCCTAGACCCTCCTAGGTCGGGATGCAGGGCAGCGCGGCAGGCCCGGCTCCACGGCTCC